TTTCCTTTTTGTCTTTTTTCGTGTCCGGCAACGGACCGCAACCCTCAGTGTCGCGCCCGTACTGGACCGGGACCGGCAACGGGATCGCAACCCTCGGTGCTGTGCCCGCCCCTTGCTCAGCCAGTGAGCGGGAACCGGTCTGTATGTGGGATCCGAACCCTCAGCGGGAGCGCCGCCGCACTTCCCAAGCGGCGCACTGTAGCAGTGCGCCACCGGGCCGGCCCCTCTCGTTCAACTTTAAGGCCTCTGGTCCAGATGGTTCAGGTACTGAATTAGGCATCGCTCTTTGCATGTACCAGAAACACATTCAACCTAGCTCGGGTCAAAAAAGGCAATTTATGCACCCCATGTCTGTAGCATTATTCACAGTAACACAAAGGTGGAAGTAACCCAAGTGTCCACAGTGGGGGAATGGATAAACAAAATGTGGCATGTATGTAATGGAATATAATTCAACCTTATAAAGGAAAGAAATACTGACATGTGCTACAACGTGAATGTACCTTGAAAGCATCATGCTAAGTGAAATAAACCAGTCACAAAACACAGATACCACATGATTCCACTTACATGAGGTACTTAGAATAGTCAAAATCATAGAGACAGACCGAATGTTGTAGCCAGGGACTGGGAGAAGGGAGGAATTGGGAGGAGGGAGGAATAGGGAGGAGTTATTTAATTGGTACAGAGTTTTAATTTTGCAAGATGAAAAAGTTCTGGAGATGAATGGTCATGATGTTTGCAAAAAAATGTGACTATATTTAATACCACCAAACTGTACACTTAAAAATGGTTAAGATGGTAAATCTTATGTTATGAATATTTTACCACAGTTTTTTAAAATGGACAATTTATGGGTTTATGTAACTAAAGTTTGTGAGTTATGTGGACTTCAGGCATAGTTTGATCGAGGGGCACAAATGAAGTCAAAAGCACCTCTCCATCACTCTGCTGAGCTATGTGCTGGCTTCATTCTTAGGCAGCTTCTCTCAGTGAGGTACTTAGCATGGCTCCTGCTAGTGCAGGCTGATATCCCAGCTGAAATAGAGCATCTTTTTCTCAGTAGTCAGGCCACAGTCCTCTCTCTGATGCTCATTGGGTTGCCTTAGTCACTTGCCAGCCTCTGAGCCAGTCAGTGTGACAAGGGTGATAGGCCCTTGATGTGTCCACCCCCTGGAGTCAGGCTGTGGGCTCAGTCACATTGGAACTATGTTTGGGGAAAGCAGGGGTGCAGAAAGTCAAGATGTGGTTACTGAAGAAGGGAGAATAGATGCTGGCAGATCCAAGCAACAGCTGCACTACAGATGCTGTATCCACGACCAAGGCTGCAGGGGCAGGCCCCAGGAACACAGTCCTAAGCACCATGTCCTGTGCAGAAAGGACGCTCTCTGGCTTCTTTGCATGGAGACTTGGAACTGGGTAGGAAGGAGACTTGAAATGTTTTTGAAACATTTGAGGCAGTATCACCTGGAATCCCAGCATTCAAGACAGATGGAAGAGGGGGTGTTATACTCAAAGACAGGCAGAGTTGACAATTGGATCATTCCAAGTGCTGATAAGGGTGGAGCAACAGGAACTCATTTCTGTCTGGTGGGAATGTTGAGGATTACAGCCACTTTGAAAAATGGTTGGACATCATCAGTTATAGCTGAAGAGCCCACGTTCTCATTGTTCTTTCTAGCAGTTCCACTCCGAGGCAGCTGGAGAGAGGCCTTCTCACCTGTGTGCAAGAATGCTCATCCTAGGGCCGGCCCGGTGGTGCACTGGAGAGTGCGCTGCTTGACAGTGTGGCGGCACTCCCGCCGAGGGTTCGGATCCCATGTGGAGACCGGTTCCTGCTCACTGGCTGAGCGCGGTGCGGGCGCAACACCGAGGGTTGCGATCCCATTGCCGGTCAGTAAAAAAAGACAAAAAGGAAAAAAAAAAAAAGAATGTTCATCCTAGTATGGTTCGCAGTAGTGAGAGGCTGGCACCCAAGCCAAAGGGAAAGTGGGTGAATCAATAATCTATAAATGAGTGGTCTCAGCAAACTTTTTCTGTGAAGGGCTGGACAGTAAATATTTTAGGCATTGCAGTACATATTGTCTCTGTTACAACTACTCTACTAGCTGCTATAGAGGGGGAAACAGCCAGGGACAATGTGTGAATGAATGGACATGGGTGTGTTTCATCAGAACTTTAGTTATGAAAACAGCCTCCAGAATGGACAAATCCATAGAGACAGAAAGTAGTTGACCTTTGAACAACATGGTTTGAACTGTGCGGGTCCACGTGTATACTGATTTTTTCAATAAATATATTGGAAAATTTTTGGTGAATGCATGACATACCTAACCAAGCAGTTAAGTAGTCTACCTGACAGTAGGCTATCAGTAGTTATGTAGTTAAGATTTTGGGGAGTCAAAAGTTATATGTGGATTTTTTACTGGGGGAGCTGGTACCCCTCGTCCCCACATTGTTCAAGGGTCAACCTTAGGTTGGTGGTTGCCAGGAGTTGGAGGGAGGGAAGTCTGGGGAGTAACTGCTTAGTGGGTACAGGGTTTCCATTTGGGATAATGAAAAAGTCAAGGAAGTCGATAATGGTGATGGTGCCATTGTGAATATCCTAAATGCCACTGAATTGTGCGTTTAAAAATATTGAAATTGGTAAATTTATGTTCTGTTGATTTTACCATCACCACCACCACAACAAAAAAATATAGACAGGTGGCCAGCACCTATAGGCTGTGGTTTGCTGACCTCTGATCAAGAACGCTATCTATGAACACAGACAAATCTCAGCAACATGTTGAGGGCAAAAAGCAAGTTGCAGGGCTGGCCCGGTGGCGCACTAGACAGTGCGCCACTTGGGAGTGTGGTGGCGCTCCCGCTGAGGGTTTGGATCCCATGTGGTGACCGGTTCCCGCTCACTGGCTGAGCGCGGCGCGGGCGCAACACCGAGGGTTGTGATCCTGTTGCCGGTCCCCGGTATGGGCACGACACCGAGGGTTGCGATCCCGTACCGGTCAGTAAAAAAGACAAAAAGGAAAAAAAAAAAAAGCAAGTTGCAGAAGAAGGCATACAAACATGCCAAAAAATATTCACTGTGGCTGTTGAATGAGGTCAGTAAACTCTGCCCTTCACCTCCCTGCAGTAAGACACATTCAGCTTTAGTAGGATTGAACAGTAGGTGGCTCCCTTTAAGGAAGCAGTGGGGGTTGTGTGGGGGGGTGGTCCCTGAGTCCCCAGTATTCTCTAGGACTTTCTGCTTCATACTGAGCCCATGAGATAGGCTGTAATAGACATTCCTAGAATAGCTGCTGCAGCCAGGAGACCCCAAAGTGATCCCATTGGAGTTTAAACCAAAGTGCTCAGGTGGCACCAGGTGGCACCAAACTGCAGCCCAGACCTGGATGGATTTGGTCTTTTAGTGGGACAAGAGCACTATCTGGCAATTTATGGGATTGTGTTTCTTGGATCCCTTTATAGTCTTATGGCAGAAATTTACCATACATATAGTAAAGTTATAAACAAAACACATGTTCATGAAAGTAAATTTGTGATTGTGGTTACCTCTGGGACAGGAGCAAGCAGAGTGAGATTGGGGAGGGGTACACAGGGGCCTTCTGTTGGCTGTGTTGTATTTTAATTTTTCAAGCTGGGTGGTGGTACATGGGGGTTCTTTGTCAGTGTTGTCCAATGGAAATCCAATGTGAGCCACAAATGTAATTTAAGATTTTCAAGTAGGTGCATTTAAGAATGTAAAACAAAACAAAATGAGTGAAATTAATTTTAATAATGTATTTAATTTAACCCAGTATATTCAACATGTTATCATCTCAACATGTAATCAATATAAAAACAAATTTTTCATATTTCAAAATCCAATGTACATTTTACATTTATAACACATCTCAATTAAGACTAGCTACATTTCCAAGTGCCTAGTAGCTACATGTGGCTGGCAGCTATTGTATAGGACAGCTCAGCTCTATATAGCACTTTGGTAAGTGTGAAAAATTTCACAATTGAAAAAAATAATAGACAGTAATAACTTCCCCAGGAAAGAATTGAACATTCTCTAGAAAAGACTATTTTCACTCTCATCTGATAGTTTATAGCACACAAAAGAATATTCTCAGTGACAGTCAACAATTAGATAAAATTTCAGCTTCAACAAGTTTGCCTGTTTTGATCCAAAATTAATTTATATTTTTTAAAGTCATAACTTGCCTTTTTCATTTATAAATACAGTATAACAATTAGGTGCAATGAAATTGACCAATGGGGAACTATCCTTTGCTTTTACACAGATTGCTTTGGGTGGTAGCACAGTTGCAAACAGAGATCAGCACCTGGGTAGGGAAGAAGCTGCTGTCCAAATGACACGGATATTTAGTTTAGTGCCTTTTTGCTTGGTTTATCCTACTTATGAGTGATAAAAGTGATAATGGTGATAAAATGTATGAAGATGCTGTGTTAATGATTATATTGGTAGTGATAGGAAAAGTTAGATGTAATCAACACTGGATTTGCTCAATAAACTTTAGATTTTTTTTTTTTTTAAAAGATGACCGGTAAGGGGATCTTAACCCTTGGCTTGGTGTTGTCAGCACCACGCTCAGCCAGTGAGCGAACCGGCCATCCCTATATGGGATCCGAACCTGTGGCCTTGGTGTTATCAGCACCGCACTCTCCCGAGTGAGCCACGGGCCGGCCCAAGCTTTAGATTTTATATTAAAAAAAATTATAAAAATGGATCTCTGGTCGAAATGGGAAAAGGCCTGAACTCTTCATTCTCTTAGTCCTCAGCAGTGACTCAGAGATCCTTAGTGGACCCAGGAGTGCGCAAAGCACAGTTGGGAAACTGCTGAGCTAATCGAGGCCTTCTGAGTCCCAGAGAGGAATATGAGGGAGAGGGACAAGTCCAGGGCTGAGCTGTGGCTAGCCCAGGTTGCAGCCCTGGGTTTCCCTGGCCAAGGGGTGTGAGTCCCACCTATTACCTTTTCTCATCCTTCCAGGCGTGGATGTGGAGGCAGCCAAGCGGGCTGAGGAGGAATTACTGCTTCATGACACAAGGTGCTGGCTGAATGGGGGTGCTATGCCAGAGGCCCGGCACCCCCGTACTGGGGCCTCTGCCCTGCATGTTGCCGCTGCCAAGGGCTACATTGAGGTGATGAGGTGAGCTGGGCCAATCTGTTTCTTCTTGCTGTCTTACACCTTCCTATGAGTCTTGTCCTTTCCCATTCCTTTCTAATTTATGTACCCGAGGCTATGTATTTCCCTCTAAATACAGTCTTAGCTGCACCCACAAGTTTTGGTGTATAAACAGTGTAAAACATTTTCCAGGGCTGGCCTGTGGCTCACTCGGGAGAGTGTGGTGCTGATAACACCAAGGCCACAGGTTTGGATCCCTATATAGGGATGGCCGGTTAGCTCACTTGGGAGAGCATGGTGCTGACAACACCAAGTCAAGGGTTAAGATCCCCTTACTGGTTGTCTTTAAAAAAAAAAAAAAATTTTTTTTTTCCAATTTGTAATCTTTCTTCTTTGCTCTCCATGGATTATTTAGAAGTGTGTGCTTGATTTCCAATGGGATTTTCTATTCATCATTTTGTTACTGATTTCCTGGCTTAATTACATAGTGATCAGAGAATGGGTTCTATATTCCAGCTTTTGAAATTTGTGGAGATTTGCTTTATATACCAGAATATGTAAGCTGGAAAAGAATGGTGGTGTCTGGTACAGTACTCTCTGTAGGTTATTAGGTCAACTTTATAATCATGCTGTTTCAACCTTCTGTATTCTTCTGTATTTTCCCCTTTGCTTATTCTGTCAGTTACTGTGAGAGATGTGGTTCATTCCTTGCTGCAATTATGGTCTCGGCCTGTTTCTCCTAGTTCTGTCAATTTCTATTTTATATATTTCTAGGCTAGGTTATTTGGTGCATATATATTTTAAGTTATTATAGTACATATTTCCTTTCTGTCATTCTCACCTCAGTTTGGGTCTTATTTAGTGCCTATCTAGCTGTCTTTTCTCTTTCCATTGGAGTAGTTTTCTCCAAGTGTCATCCTCAAGCTCCCTGCTGTTTCAGTTCTCATCTCTGTCTTTTGTGATGTTATACTTTATTTTTTAGTATTAAAATGGAGTAAGGTGAATCCCTCCATCTCTCTGCTCAACTCTGTGTTGATTAGTTTTTAAGCAGGTTTTCTCAGTGAGTACTTAAGATGACCCTTAAAAGCTCCAGGCTTATATCCTAGCTGCTCAGCACCTGCTGCTGAAGTAGAGCATCTTATCCTCCATAGTTCCATCAAAAGTTCACGTTTGTTGCTCACTGGGCCACCTTACTTACCTACCCATTTCTGAACCAGTCATTACAGCAAGGGGCAACAGATCCTCTAAATGGTCAAGCCCAGTGATATGCCCAGCCCTGGAGGCTGTGCCCTCCTCTGCCTATAACTTCCACCCCTGAGTTCAAGGTGGCTGCTTTGTCTCCTGCCATTGCATCTACGTCCCATCCAGCAGGATAGGGGAGAGGGCAAAAGGAGCAAACATCCATTCCTTTTAAGATAACAGTTCAGAAGTGACATGCACCACTTAATGCTGACATCCCATTTGCCAGACCCTAGTCACCTGACCATTCCTAGATGTAAGGGACACTAGGAGATTCGTATTGAGCCAGGTGACCATGTGTCCCATTAATAGTTGGGTGCTATTATTAAAGGGAGAAAAAGAGTCAATATTTGTGGGTAGTCTCAGAATTGAAGCACTTTGGACTTAGAAATATTCACTGACTGTACTTTCATAACTCCCTTTTGTATGGGCTCCTGTTTACACTAAGATCTATTGACTGCATTTTTAAAAGAGTGTAGCCAGCATTCTCCCCATTAAAGATCAGTGGCAAAGTAGAGATATACATTTATCTGATGTCGTTCATTCTTGTTTTTTTTTTAAAAGATGACCGGTAAGGGGATCTTAACCCTTGACTTGGTGTTGTCAGCACCATGCTCAACTGGTGAGCTAACTGGCCATCCCTATATGGGATCCAAACCCGGGGCCTTGGTGTTCTCAGCACCACACTCTCCTGAGTGAGCCACGGGCTGGCCCTTGATGTTATTCATTCAACACTTATTTACTGAGCACCTGCTGTGTGCCAGGCAGTCTGTTAGATGGTGAGGACACAGTGGTAAACAGACAGAGCTGGGCCCCCCTGCAGCTCCTTGCTTCATTGGGGAGACAGACAGACATGTTGGACTGTGTCCTTCTTTGCTGTGGTGGCTGTGCTGTGCATTGCAGGATGTTGAGCAGCATCCCCAGCCCTTGCCCACTGGATATTAGTATCCCCCAGTTGTAAGAACCAAAAATGTCTCTGGATATTGCCAAATGTTCCCTGGGGGGCAACATCACCCCAGTTGAGAACTGCTGGCTTAGAAGGATAGAAATAGGGTGATGGGAGAAGAGTGTGATGGGGAGAGGCCTATGTAAGGTTTGGATTTGGTGGTCAGGAAACAGCGGGGTGGGCCATGTGAAATGCTGCAGCGCCCTGAGAACACTCGCTGGGCAGAGAGAACAGCAAGTCCAAGAGACAGGTTGCCACTTGGGGGAATAGCAGGAAGCCCAGCGTGGCTGGAGCAGAGTGAGCTTGGAGCGAAAGCATGGGGAAGGTGAGTGAAGAGGTCGGCAGGGCCAGATAGAGGACCTTTTGTTTAAAAAGTTTCTTTATAAGGGCCTGCCTGTGGCTCACTTGGGAGAGCGTGGTGCTGATAACACGAAGGCCACGGGTTCGGATCCCATATAGGGATGGCCGGTTGCTCACTTGGGTGAGCGTGGTGCTGACAACACCAAGTCAAGGGTTAAGATCCCCTTACCGGTCATCTTTAAAAAAAAAAAAAAAGTTTCTTTAGAAAATATCTCAGTCTATCCATCTCTTCCCACTTTGCCATAGCTCTTCTCATTGACACAGAACCTCATTTGGGTTCTCTCAGAGTAGGCATGTCTTAAGCTCAGCCAGGTCTGGAGAGTTGCCCTGGACTTGTAACCCTGCTTTCACCCCCAAATTGAGTGGTCTGAAGTGGTTATTATTTTCTTGCAGAATTTAAGCCGGAGTTTCTCAACCTTGGTGTTATTGACATTTTGGGTCAGATCATTCTGTGTTGTGTGGCTGTGCTATGACTTAGGATGAGCAGTGTCCCTGGCCTCTACCCAGTAGATGCCAATAGTGCCCATCCCTACTTTATGACAACCAGAGATGTTTGTAGACGTTGCTATTGTTGCCTGGGGGGCAGCATTGTCCAGGTTGAGAACCACTGCTCTAAGCTGACTAGGTTCCTGGAACACCGTTGTCCTGAGGTGTCCCCTTTAGGGGTCTCGTCCTTTTTATAGTCTTGGGGGCTGGCAGGGGAGCTCCTTTGGGGCTGTCTCCTTGCACCCCATTGCTGCCACCTCAGAGTCCCACACCAGGGTGACCCCAAAAGTGTCAACCCCCTGCCTGTATGAGAAGCAGGTTCCGGAGGCCACCTGCTGGGCCAGGGTGTAGCTTCTAGCTACTGGACCAAGGGGAAGGGTCAAGGCTGGGGGGGCAAAGAGGTTACTTGTAGTGGAGGATCTTGGGGTAGTGGCTCTTTACTGACTGATTCAGGAGCTTTTCAATGTTGTAACAACTGGAGCTGCAGCCTCAGCATGGCTGGCTGAAATCAGCCCTTTGCCCAGATCTCCCATCTTGGCCCTGATCCAACACCTCCCTGGCCCCCAGGCTGCTCCTTCAGGCTGGCTATGACCCAGAGCTACGCGATGGGGATGGCTGGACCCCCCTGCACGCAGCGGCCCACTGGGGCGTGGAGGATGCCTGCCGCCTGCTGGCTGAACATGGTGGGGGCATGGACTCGCTGACCCATGCGGTGAGGGCTGGGGACTCAGAGGCTGGGATAGGGTGGAGGAGGGCCCCCACCTCCATCATCATCTACCCCTTATTCTCCCCCAACCCAGGGGCAGCGTCCTTGTGACCTGGCTGACGAGGAAGTGCTGAGCCTGTTGGAGGAACTGGCACAGAAGCAGGAGGATGTGAGTTTCAGCGCCACAAAGTTCACCCCAGGCTTCCTCCCTTCCCTACAACTCATCAGAGGAGGCCAGGAAGGAAGGGCTGGGGAGGGAGGACATCCTCATCCCCTGACTTTCTGACACCCACTGCCCCAGGCAGCTGCTCTTCCCCACTTGGTGACCCAGGCCCAGTGGAGTGTGAGCAGGGGCACAGCTGGGTGAGTGGTTGGAGGAGGCAGGGGTGGGGCTGGGCCACAGTGGATGTTGGGCTGGGAAGCTCCCTACCTGCCTGGTGAGGGGACAACAGAGGATTCAGGTGGAGGTTGTCTGTCTGGACTCAGGCTGGGCTCATCACTCCTGGGATCTCTCCCAGCCAGCACCAGGCCAGGCTTTGTTGCTGGGAAAACACAGATCAAAGGGGTTAAATGTATGGGCATTGGCCAGACTGCCTGGGTTGGAATCCCAGCTCTGCCATGGATTTGCTGTGTGAGCTCGAGCCAGTCACTTACCCTCTCTGGGCCTTAGTTTTCTCATCTGTAAAATGGGGATGGTAATAATGCATGCCTTTACTTTACGAGGAGTTATGTGTGATGTTACGTGGAGTATGCTGTGAGGAATATATACATGTTACTAAATAAAACCATTTATAACCATGCCTGGCATACAGTAAGCTCTGTTAGGTAGCAAGAAACATCTGAAGCTTCCTGGGGGCCAGGCCCTCTGCCTCGAGTTTCTGTTGAGTGGGCAGGTGGATATTGACAGATCCTTCTGTTTAAAGATTGGCAGTAGTGATGTCAAGGCTTGCAAACTCAGGAGAAAAAGCTTGTGGCTCTGGCTTGGTTAATTCTGGCCAGCTTTCTGGAGGCCAGGGCACACCCTTAGGCTTGAGGGAACAGCAGGTGCAAACTCTGGGCGGTGAAAAATGTAGGGTGCCCTGAGGGGCCCAGGGAGGGGAGCGTGAATCATGAGGCAGACCCTGATATTGAGGAGCAGCATGGCTTCTACCATGAGGGTAATGGGGGCATGGGAGGGAGAGGGGGAATGTTTAATTTTTCCTTTGCAGCTGGCCAGTATGGGGAACAGGGATTTTTTTTTTTTTTTTTAAAGATGACCGGTAAGGGGATCTTAACCCTTGACTTGGTGTTGTCAGCACCACGCTCACCCAGTGAACGAACTGGCCATCCCTATATGGGATCCGAACCCGTGGCCTTGGTGTTATCAGCACCGTACTCTCCCGAGTGAGCCACAGGCCGGCCCAGGGATTTTTTTTTTTAAAGGATGATCTGATCAGTAGGGGGATCTTAACCCTTGGCTTAGTGTTGTCAGCACCACACTCACCCAGTGAGCTAACCTGCCATCCCTATATGGGATCCGAACCCGTGGCCTTGGTGTTATCAGCACCACACTCTCCCGAGTGAGCCACGGCTGGCCTGGAACAGGGATTTTTGATGAGTGAAGCAGAGTCAGCTCTTAGTGAGGTAGCCCAGGTGTCACAGGAGCCTGGCCTGGGCGCATCTGGGAACACTTTCTGGAAAACATGAATACTGCAGTGCCCAGAGTTTGCTAGAAGAGGCAGGGATGAACTGCATTCCTGGCGAGTGGCACTGATCTGCAAAGGCTCCAAGGTGTGAAAGTAAATTGCAGTCTGGAAAACGGTGCCCATTGTCACAGAGCTTAGGGCAGAGGAGGCTATGGCCAAATCTGGGGCAACCAAATGTTGGGCCAGTGTCCTGGGTGTGCTGAGAAGGTCTGATTAGGTTGCCCCTGGGGGTAGAAAGAGGCCTCTGGGGACGAGACTGGAGACTTCATGGGTGGGGGCTGTGAGAACAAGACCAGGGCACCTTCTCTTCCAGCAGATGCATGGCCATCTGTGAATAAGTCCACAAATCCTCTCTGCCTGTCCCAGGCACTGAACTCCTTGTAGTTGCAGCACCCTGAGTAAGGCACGCTCAGCACAGCTGTGAATGGTGACTCTCGGTGTTGGTGATGTGTAACAGAGGAGTCCAATCCAGGGGGACCCAGGAGGGATTGTGTATTCTACCCCTCCCCTTCAGCCCCCTTTCTTCCTTTCAGCTTCGAAATCAAAAGGAAGCCTCCCAGAACAGGGGCCAGGAGCCCCAGGTGCCCTCCAGCAGCAAATACAGAAGGTAGGAGGGAGGAGCCCCCTGCTGGTGGGGTGGGTTGGAGGCTCCACCCCAGGGCTGGACCCCAACTCCCTCTCCTTCCCCAACAGGAGCTCTGTGTGCCGTCTGAGCAGCCGGGAGAAGATCTCCCTCCAGGACCTATCCAAGGAGCGCCGGCCTGGTGGGGCTGGAGGGCCACCCATCCGGGATGAGGATGAGGGAGAAGAAGGCCCCATGGGTGAGGGGCCAGACTAAGGGCAGATCTTATGAAGGAGGGGCTGGGAGCCTGGACTCCTGGAGCTGAGGGAGGAGAGTAGAGGGGCTGGGTTCTTTTATTCTCAGAGGCAACTAGCAGATTCTATGACTAATCACCCCCCACCCATGTTTCCACACTTCAGAGCCATCCCCTGAAGAAACCAGGACCCTCAATGGAGTCTCCTCCCCACCTTTTCCTACCCCTAAGAGCCCCATGGTGAGTCTGGATTTCCTTAGAGATCATGGGAGGTCGGGAGGGTGGAGGAGGTGGGATTCCATAAAGCCTGTAAACCTCTCCCCAGGGTAGGTAGTGTGAAGACTACAGTTCCCAGAATCCTCATGGACAACCGATCACCTTTTTCAGGCCACACCTGCCCCAGGGGACGATGGGAATTGTAGCGTTTTACAGTCCTCCTGGGGGTTAACACTTGAGGTCTCTGAGAAGAGGGGTCCTTTCTCCATAACTAAGACTTTCCTCTTCTCCCAGCTGCCCAATGAGGCCCCCTTCTCTAGGCGCTTTGGCCTCCAGAAAACAGGGAGCTCTGGTGCCCTGGGTCCCCCAGAAAAGCGAGGAGCCGATGGAGCCCCTGGGTCTGGGCTGCAGCGCTCAGCTTCCTCCTCTCGGCTGGAAGGGACCTCCACTCAGGTGAGTGGGGTGAGCTGGGCAGGGTCCAGGCCCCTCCCCAGGGCAGGGTCCAGGAGAATACCCTCCCCTCCTCTCTCTCTATAGGCCAAGGAGCCCCATCTTGCCAGAATTACTCCTACTCCCTCCCGGAAAGTGCTGGAGCTACCTGTCCTGTAGGTACCAAGAGCTGGGCCCCCCTGGGGTGGGAGGCTGATCTGGGTTTCAGTCCTGTCAGCATGATTTTGAATAAGTTCATTTTCTCTCTACTGTCTAGTCCCTGCTTTCTCCTTCAACCCCACCAATTACCCTGCCTCGGTTTCCCTTTTGGTGTGTCAAGTAAAAGCTCACAGTAAAACTTCCAAGGCCACAGGGATCTGGCCTTCTGCGGCCTCAGAGCCTTTGCTATGTCTCTTCCCCCTCACATCCACAGGGCTTGCTTTCTCCCTCCCTCCCTGTGATCTGTGTTTAAATTGTTTAAATGTCACCTTCTTCCTGAGGCCCACTGTGGCCACCCTCCTCCCACTGCAGCAGTGTCTGGTCATGTAGACCCTCCTGTCTCCTGTCCTTGTTTTGTTTCTTTTCTCCAAAGTACTTTATCCTTGTGATGTATTATGTAATGTGCCAATCTTTTTATGGTTATAGTTTATTTTGTGTCTTTCCTGCTCAGATTTGACTCTGTCCTGGCAGAGATACCTTGTTTATTTTGTTCACTGCTGTATATTCAGTGCCAGGTACATAACAGGAGCTTGAGTAATATTTGTTGAATGAATGAATTCATACAGGTCTGAGATCACCAAGCCTCCTCCTCCCCTGGATAACTCCACTCCTCCCTCCAGGATTCCAGAGGCTGAATCCCCAGTGAAGCCAAATATCCCCACACCATCCACAGCACTCCCAGTGGACTCCCGGGACCGTCGGAGGTGAAGAGGCCAGGGCGGGAAGCTGATGGCTCCCCAGCTGGGAGATAACTACATTACCCAGGAGTCCCCAGGGCTTTGGGTGGGTTTCCTGAGGGAAACTTTGTCCCAGGGTCTGCTGGAAGTTGAAGTCGTTTCTGGCAGAATTTGCCTCCCCTGGAGGGTATCAGCCATGGAAGGAGGACAGGGCCAAAGGAACCCTCCCTCAGAACTGGGGCCCTTCACTCAGGTCCTACCAGATGCCTGTGCGAGATGAGGAATCTGAGTCCCAACGGAAAGCTCGCTCCCGCCTCATGCGCCAGTCTCGGAGGTCCACACAGGTGTGGGGGGTTGGATGGGGATCTGGACTACTGGGTTTGAGGGAGGAAGGGCTGGGGCCTAGACTCCTGGGTCTGAGGGAGGGAGAAACTAAGGCCTGGATTCTTGACTCCTGAGGGGTTAGGCCCTGACCCTGGAGTCCCCTGACTGCCCACTCTCCCTGCCAGGGTGTGACTCTGACAGACCTGAAGGAAGCAGAAAAGGCTGCAGGGAAGGCCATAGAGCCTGAGAAGTCATCTCTGCCATGCCTGGTGAGAGAGGTCAAGTAAGGGGCAAGTGGGTTGTACAAGACTCCCTCTTCCTCTGACAACCACGCACTCCCCAACAGGACCCTTCCCGCCGGCCCCGAGTGCCTGGAGTTGAGAACTCTGACGGCCCTGCCCACAGAGGTGAGGTCTGCTGTCTGTGCAAGTCCTTCTGCAGGATCCACCCAATCTCTCTCATACAGTCTTCCTATTTTCCTGGGGGATTGGGCCCAGGGACCCCAACACTGCAGAGAGGGTGCTCCCTCCACAGGTGTCTGGGCTGATTTCTGCCCCTTCCCCAGCAGAGGCGCCTGACGGGCAGGGTCAGGGACCACAGGCATCCAGGGAGCACCACAAGATCGACAAGGAGCGGAGGGGGCCTGCTGAGGTGAGGTGGGCTCAGGTGGGGCCTAGCTAGTACTGAGGGTGGACCATGGGGATGGGGCAGGACCAAGCCTCCCTGTCCATCTGGCTGAACCTTCCCTCCATCTTAGGGGGAAGAGGCGGAGCCGACAGATGGAAGCCCAGAAAGCAGGTATGGGGCTGAGGGGGCAGGGTTGGGGCTTGTCTGTGGTGCAGCAAGCAGCGTGAATCCTGAGGCTGTGCTCCACCTTCACCCCAGCACTCCCGAGGGCGGCCCCTCAGCCCGCAGGCAGCGCACACAGCGGAACCTCAACCCAGAACCTGAGCCAGGAACCGAAGAGCCGGAGGGAGGCTTTAAGAAGGTGTGACAGCTACCCCACTCCACCATCAGTCCCGTTAATGCTCCGCCCCTTTGTTCGGTGGCTCCCACTTGCTAGATGCCCACATCCTGCCCTTCCCAGCCCCCCTGCTAAGGTGCTGCATCTGGGGCTGGCAGGCCCGACTGTCTGCCTTCTCCCTTACCCCCAGCTGTACTCAGAGCTACGCAGGGAGAATGAGCGGCTTCGTGAAGCCTTGACTGAAACCACGCTGCGGCTGGCGCAGCTCAAGGTGGAGCTGGAGCGGGCCACACAGGTAATAGTGCCCAGGCCCTTGGAGGTGCAGGAACTGGCTGGGCTGCCTGTGCCTGGTGCAGCATCACGAGTGGGTGGAGCCTGAGTGATGAGCAGTGGGTCTAGGACCTCTGAGAGGTGGGGCCTGAACTATGAAGGGTGGGCCTTAACTGGGCTCCACCTTCTTAGGGGAGGGGCTAGGGTTGGGGGGGCAGTAGAAGCAGGGCTATGGCCTGTTGGAGGCAGGGTCCGATCTTTGAGGGGTCTGAGCTGGGCTTAGCTTTTTTTTTTTTTTTTTGTGGCCGGTAAGGGGATCGTAACCCAAGCAGTGAGCGCACCGGTCATCCCTATATAGGATCCGAACCCGCGGCGGGAGCGTCGCTGCGCTCCCAGCGCCACACTCTCCTGAGTGAGCCACGGGGTCGGCCTGGGCTTAGCTTTTGAGAGGGGAAGTAGAATTTCTGGGAGCCTGAGCGATGAGGAGAGGGTTCAGAGAGGGCAGGGCTAGGACTCTGGGAAGTGGAGCGGGATCTATGGAAGGGTGGGGTCTGAGCAGGGCTCAGCTTCTTGAGGGGTTGGGGCTAGGACCTTGGAGGCGGGGCCTGAATGGTTAGGGGTGGTTTGGCTAGTGGGTGAGTAAGGTCTTGGCAGGAGCTTAGACTGCCTCCCTGCCACAGCAATGCTGGCTACCCCTTCTGACCCTTGTGCATTCTCTCTCCCCTCACCAGAGGCAGGAACGCTTTGCTGAGAGGCCAGCCCTTCTGGAGCTGGAGAGATTCGTGAGTAGGGGCAGCTGGGATGGTGCCAGATGTGTCCCCAGCCTTATGCCCATGTGGGTCTGGATCAAGAGGGCCACACTGACCTCCTAACCTGGTCCCCTGACCTTTCCCCACCCTTCTTAGCCTTACTCAGTTTCTAAACGTTCTTCTAGGAGCGCCGGGCCCTGGAACGCAAGGCAGCAGAGCTGGAGGAGGAGCTGAAGGTGGGTGCTCATGGAGGCACTGCAGGCAAAGGGCCGAGGGTGGGTGGGGCTCAGCCTACCCAGGGCCACCCAGCTGACCCCTTCTGCCCCCCAGGCCCTATCTGATCTCCGGGCTGACAACCAGCGGCTCAAGGATGAAAATGCAGCGCTGATCCGAGTCATCAGCAAACTTTCCAAGTGACTCTGGAGAACTTTCCTGCACCCGTATTTATACAGCTGCTTCTGCCACACGCACCCCTTCCCCCGTGTGAACACCACCAGTAACAGGGCTCTGGGGGAAGTCTCTGAGAAGCCATAACCTCCCCTTGGGATCTCTGGACTGGGAGGGGAGCACAGAGTCCCCAGGAGCCAAAGGGGGCCATCTGAGGCCAGGATGAAGGCAGAGGCCAAGCCAGGTAGGGGGACGTCGCCAAGAGGAGACTGGGGTCGGAGACGGGACCAGGAAGGAACCGAGGACCAAGAGGCGCAAGGATCAGTAGCCAGGACCAGAGTGGCTGCCCCACAGGTCCCCCACCTCACGTGTGATACCACCCCAGTCACCCCTCCCTCTCCTGAGCAGGGATCCAAGAATGTGCCAAGAGTCCTGCTGGCCTCAGCCAGGTGGGCCTGTATATAGGGTCCATGTGCAATAGGGAGGGATGTCTTCTATTTTTTGCTGCCCCCTCTCCACCCTCTGTCTGGGGCAGGGGGAGAAGGTATTTTCGAGACAAAGCACAGGCACCACAAATAAAAGTCGTGAAGTTGCCACTCAGTGACTGCATCCCCAGCTGGAGGTGGGGTGCTGTTTCCTGCTTCTGTGCTCAGGGGCTATGCGTGTTAATGAGCAAGCTACTGGGCCATTTGGGTGGGGTGCTGAGGGGTGGGTAGGTGCTGGCTCACTGGTGTGGAGAGGGAGCTTCAGGAAGAGCAACGAGTTGGAGCAAAGGCCCTAAGCCAGGGTTGACGTGATCACAGGCAAGGTGGCTGGAGGGGAAGCTGACAGGGAAGGAAGGGTCAGCTGCTTAATACTTTGAGGGCCGTGAATATTGAGCTAAGGAACTTGGATTTGCCACCAGTGTCTTTGAAGGAAATTTAAGTCAATTGTAAATATTTAAAATTTGGGTTAATTCACATAAAAATCTGGAATTTTGGCTTCTCTGAAAAAAATAGGAAACTGACAATGTGAGCTTTTCAGTCCTGCATGGCAATGGGTGACTGGAGCTGAGTGGGAGCCATTTTCCAAGATGGGCATTCATTCATTCATTCATTCTTTCAGTAATTATAGATCATATTCTACTTGTCAGGTTCTGTTCTACATGCTGGTGTTACAGTAGTGAACAAAACAGGCAAAGATCCAGTATGTTTCAGGAGGGGAGGCATCCAGTGATTAAATTAATGTATTCCAGATGGTAGTGCTATGGAGAGAGAGCAGGGGAAGGAGAAAGGTGTGTGTGTGTGTGTGTGTGTGTGAAGGAGAAAGGTAGGTGTGTGTGTGTGTGTTTTGTATAGGGTAGTCTGGGTAGGCCTCACTGAAAAGCTGGCATGGTCAGATAATTGACGTGGCAAGTAGTGAGCTGTGTAGGTATTTGAGGGAAGAGCCCTCTGGATGATGAGAATGTGTGCAAAGACCCTGGGGTAGAAGTGTGCCTGACATGTTGGGGCACAGGAAGAACCCAGTGTGTCTGGAGGGAAGCAGTAGGGGATGAGGTTAGAGAGGTAGTGGCTGGCTGTGCAAGGACTTGGCCACGTAAGGACTTGAGCTGTGACGTGGGAGCCTTGGGTGGTTTTGAGGCATAATCATGATCTGGCTTAGGTTTTAGAGTCCTTCTGGCTGCTGCATTAAGAATAGAGTGGGAGTTGGTGGTAAGGGACAGGGCGACCGGTTAAGGGGCTACTGGTGAAATCCTAGCAAGAGATGATGGTGGCTTGGGCCAGGGTGACAGCAGTGGATATGGTGAGAAATGGTCAGATTCTGGGAATGTTGGAAGGTACAGCCCTTTGTTTGGATGTTGGCTTGTAATAGAAATAGAGCTTAGGCCCAACTTGCTCGTTTGGGTCACTTGTCTCGTTCCTGCAGGCATTTCAGTTTGCAGCCCAGATGATGGGAGCCAGGAGGGGTTATTGAGGAGGGGACTGCTTATATTTCTGGTTCCTCTTTTAGAAATGAGGGGTAGGGCACCAGGCAAGAGGTTTAAGGATGATTAAATACTCCCTGGGGTCGAGAGTATTCTGGACAGAAGGAAAAGATGAACCAAGGCATGGTGGAGGAGGAGGAAAGCAGAGTCCTCTACAGCCTGAGAAGCCAGAGAGCCTGATGGTCACAGGCCCTCAACTGCCAAGCTGGAGCTTGGATTTTAGCTGATGGGTCATGGGGTGCTAAGGGAGGTGTTCGAGTAGGGGATGGGGTCGGGGTTGATGTGGGAAGGAGTCTTCAAGATCCAAAGTGGCCTGGTTCCAGAAGGAAACCAAGGCACAAGGAGACAAAGTGGGGAGTGAGAATCAGGGCTCCTGCCTGTTTGAGGCTGGTGCCCTCTGGTGGCTCAAGTAGAAACTGAACTCCAGGGGAACAGGCTGGACACCTGTAGGCCAACAGGGAATCTTGGCAGTGGGTGTTCTGCGGGAGCAGGTGGAGGAGCCACAGGAGGAAGAGAAAAGGCCATTCTTCCTACAGTCAGAGGAACGTCCAACCTGAATGAAGGTGCGATCCAGAGAAAACCAGCTCTCATCAGCCACCTGAATAATGGAGAAAACTTACAAGACTTGCCAGAGGGAAAAGGAGCTAGTTCTTGAGGGGGTAGGAAGTTTGTAGTTAGGCAGCTATCTCACAGGACGAAGAGTGGCCAGGAAGCCTGTGGCATGCTCAGGAGGCAGCCAGTTCTCCATGGCTGGACCCCTGGCAGGAGGTGGGGGAAAAAGTGAAGTTGGGCAACTAGCCTAGGGGATGAAGGCAGGCTTCCCTAAAGTGAGTATTTGAGCTGGGCAAAGAAGGCTGAATAAAAGTCCACCAGGCAGAAAAAGGCTGTTCTGGTCTGTAGAAATAGCAAGTGCGAAAACCAGTGGTTGAAGGGGCTTGGGGCTCTGTGGAGAAGGGCAGGACCAGAATGCAAGGAGGAATAAGGAGGTGAGAAATGAGTTTGGAGAGGTGGGTATGGAAAACACTCAAGGTCTCAAATGCTGGTGCTATAGTAGTGGCCAAACAGGCAAAGACCTGATACGAGGCTAAGAAAGCAGTGGGGAGCCAGGGAAGGATTTGAGCAAAGGATGTGTATTCAGAATATGAGGTGAGCTGGAGGGCAGACTGGTGGCTAGGAGGTCAGGAGGAAGCCTGGGGTATGGCTTCGGGTATGAAGAGTTCAGAGAGAGAAACTTAAGAAGGTGGGTCATCTCCCAGATTCCTTTCCTCCTATGAGGCTGTGTCTGGGGCAATGGGCAGATTCCTGGGCTTCCTGGTAGCCAGGAGAGGGGACAGAAGTTGACACCACTTGCTAAGAGGCGGCTGTTTATAGACTGGTTAGCATATTACAATGCACAGGGCTCCTGAGTGCGCCCTCTCCCGGCGTGTGCCTTCTCCCTGGGCGCGCAGTAAGCGCTTTCTGTAAATTGTCTCTGTGCCCTGCCTTCTCCACACTCCCAGTCCATTTTCACTCTGGAGAGACTCCAGCAAGATTGTTCAGTCTGTATACCGGGAAGGGGAAGGGGGAAGACCAGGGCCTAAACGGGTTGGCGATCCTTCAAGGGGTCTCCTCCCATTGGTGGGGGGAGTCTGAAGAGTCTGTTCTCCCACAGAGCACTGGGAAACCCGCTTTCTCTTCACTTTTTGCGAAGGGGCTAGGAAGGGTCAAATGACCTCTATTTCCATCTTGCCTTCCACCTTCTTCTTTTGCTTCTTCATCACTGCCTCCAGCTCTGACACGTTCTCTTTGTCCTGGAGAAATCAAGGGTAAAAATCAGAACCCTAGTGTCTTTGGCGCCTCCCACCCAGTTCAGGCCCAAGGGTGAGTGGCCCCCACTCACCTCCAGCAGCGCGCGCTGCACCGTGACCTGGCTGTACACACGCGCCCCCTCCTCCGGGCTTACCGCCCGCAACTCCTCCTTTTGCAGAGAGAAAAGCTGCGCGCCGGTCAGCACGCCCAGCGCGTCCACAGTCCTGAGCAAAGGCAGCGGGGGGGCGCGGTCAGGCCTGTCTGTCAATCACAGCTCAAGCTCCCCAGTCCCACCAATCACATCACGCCTGTCTAGCTGCTATATTCTAGGGTATTCAATCAGCAGTATTCTAGCTTTCAAGCAGGGCGGGGCCCTGCAGAAGTCTCCTGAATCCCCCCACACAAGTCACAGCATACCATGTAGGGAAGTTGGGCTGCACCTTGCTTTAAAAAGGGGGAGGGACTTTTCTGGGAACTCCAATCGGAGCCAGAAAAAACATGCCAACCATAGCCTGCCACTGGGTGTTGCAACCAGACAGACTCGCTTTGGGCCAACCCCAGCTCCCCGTGGTCTGCACACCTCCACCCGCTCCGGACCAATCGGAACTCCCAAATCTCCTGCCGGGTAGCCAGCGCTTGCACTACTCACCCCGAGCTAAAGCCCTTGGCTTGCAGCCAGGCGCGGACCTCCGAGGCACTTGAACGCGGGCTGAGCTGCGGCTCCGGTGCGCGGGCTCCCAGGGCTGCGCGGCTGGGACCCGAGCGGCCCTGGGCCAGGCGCGCCTGCAGCTCCTCGCTGACACTGAGCATCTGGCAGAATTTCTCTGCAGGCGGGAAACCGGAAGAAAGTACAGGCTCAGAGCGAGGCGTCCTGGGGCCAGAGGCTGGAGGCCTCCGACATCCCCAGGATGGGTCGGGAGTCCATTTGCTCTTTCTGAGTCTCGTTTTCGCTGCCTGGAAAGAGGACAAGGACCTCTGTCCGGAGGAGTTGCCCCCACCACTTACCTTTCTCACTGGGGTTTAAGTTGAGGCAATCGCAGCTGTCCCAGTGGGGCCGAACCTGAGCAGGAGCTGAGGCCAGGGCTCGTGAGGGAGGGGGAGTGCTATTTTCCTAGAGGGGAAGGAGAGAAGGGCACCTGGATCAGGGAGAGGGCTCAGAGTACCACCCCTCCCATTTCTGGAGATAAAACTTTGAAGCCCCAGCCACCTACACCCCCAATACTCTTGACACCTGACTACCACACCCCTCGTTCCCAAGACCCAGGGTCTGTCCCCTAGCCTCTCCTACCTCAAGACCCAAGAGTCTGCCCTGACTCACCATGCTGCGGGCAGGGCTTTGGCCGCGGTTCACCTGGGTTCCGGGATGGGGTGTCAAGATATTATAGGGTACATATCCCTCCTGCCCCTTTTGGTCCCGAACCTTCCACCATTTCCGCTTGTCATCCAGGACCTGGGCGTGGTATAAGGAGAGGATTCAGAGTCTGGGTCTGTGGCTAGGGCTGACCAGTTCCATCCCCTCAGCCAGCAACTCCTCTAACCTCCAACACGTCCTGTTGCTTGACTGACAACTCACTGCTGTTGCGGGCCTGGAAGTCATAATTACACAGGACCCACTTTCCTGCTGGCTCTGGCTCGCAATGGGGCTCAGATTCTTGCTCTGGATCTTGGTGACTGAGGAGAAGCAGGAAAGTTGGAGATAAGGAGGCAGCCAGCCCCACTCCATTGGGCTGTAGGGTTCCTGTGTGAGCTGGGGTTAGAGCCAAGCAGGGGTCACAGCGGGGGATCAGGTTAATACTGTTAGTAGAGATTTGAAATTGGAATAACGGCTTGGATATATTTTCTCCTTGCCTTACCTGGCACTGTGCCATAAGCATATGATATGGGTACTATTATCAATTCCATTTTGTAGATGAGAACTTTGAAGCTCAGAGAGATAAAATCACATGCCCCAGATCACACAGCTAGAAATAGCTATTTATTGAGCATCTATTAGATACTGGGCTCAGGTACAATAATAACTCATGATCATAGTAAAAACAATAGCTAACACTTATGTGGCACTTACTATGCCAGCCACTGTTTAAAGTCTGTTACATACATTAGCTGATTTGATCTTCATGAAAACCCTTGGTAGAATCATGAATTTGGACTCCCCAGTTCCTTCCTCCTCGGAAGCCCCATTATTATCACCATTACAGGTGAGTAAGCTGACACACAGTTATGTAAAGGTCACAGAGCAAGAGAATGGCATAGCCAGCCTAGGACCCAGGCAGTCTATGTCTGTGTAACTCTGCTCTACTTTACATGAAGCTGGATTTGAACCCGAGCTTGGCCACAGCCTTGAGCTCTTAACTTCCAGCCCCTACAACATCACAGACTTCTTACTCTTCCAGGAGGGGATTATCATTATTCACACTTTCCTGCAAAACTCTAGGCTCAGAGTTAAAAGCTGGAGGTGTCAAGCCCAAGACTCAAAAGCGGGGTGTGGGGGTGTGTTCTGCAATACCAGGCAGCTGGGGGTGGGGTGGGGAACAGGATCTTGGCTCTGATCCCCAATAAGAACCTCAGCCCGGATCAGGCCTACCTGTGTAGGGGAGAGGGGAGGTCTTCAGGGCCGCGGCACCCCCTGTGTGGGGCCGGCAGTTCCCAGCACGCTGTCCCTGCTGAGACCTTCTGCCCAGGCCCTCACCCAGACCCCCCTTCCTCTCCTCCAGCCTCGCTGCTTTGGTTTTTTTTCTCATCCCACCTTGCTTTGCTCCAATCTGCCCCCTACTTGCTCAAGGACCCTAAAGTTCTATCCCTTCTACCCCCTTCCTCCTCCAGGACCCAAAACTCTGAGACCCTACAGCTTGGTAGGACCGTGAATTTAGATCCCCTAGTTCTTTCCTCCCCCAGAGACCCAGGAGTCCAGGTCTCAAGCTTCACTTTCCCCTTTTAACCCTTAAAGCCTCCCAGTCTGACACCCAGCAGAGACAATTGCTTTAGAGTCTCTGGAAAACCAAGAGTCCAACCTCCTAGCCTTTACCTATCTCAGGGATGCAGAGATATTACCACTTCCTAACTTTCCCAGAAACTTCTCCCCCGACCCTCGCCCATGAAGTCCCAAGCGTGCTTCTCTGGGTCTCCAGGATCTAAGCACCTGACTTGAGTTCTTCTTCAAAATTCAAACGACCAATTCCCCAGCCTCTTCTCTAATACCCAGGTCTTTGTCCTCTAGGGACCCAGGCACAGAGCTTCTCAGGCCCTGGAAACCAAACTGCCTTCTTCCAGCCTTTTGAGGACCCAGGGGTCCAACCTCTCGGACTTTACCCACTTCCAGCCTCTTCCTCCCCTAGGCCCTGGAATCTGGGCCTCCACTCCCTCCTCCCCTTGAACCCAGAAGTCTGGTCCCCGCCCCCTCCCTCCCAGCTCCTCCCCC